AAATGGAAAGAGAGCGCCAAGCACCCGGAGGTGTGGTACAACAAGGTCGAGGACGGGGCAGCATGGCTCATGAGGAAATGGCACAGGCAGGAGGCGGAAGCGTCCGCGAAGCGCCAGCGCGCGAGGGAAGCAGAAGCAGAGAGTACGGCCATCTCAGGACCGAAGAGAAAGAGAGCCGGGGAAGCGGCGGTGGGGGGGAACAAACGGCGACCGGGCACTGCTGTAGAAGCGAGTAGGGCGGCCGAGGCAGCACTTGTGGCGAACTATGTTCCCGGCTGATGTTGTTGCGCCCTGTTTCCCTCCCTGCTGTATGCTATACTCCTTTGTGTATGTCCTTTGTATTGCAGTCAACTTAGTCTTTTACGACGTGGGAGGAGAATTTCCTCAATATTCGTGAATCTCCTCAAGAGTCGAAATCCAACAATCGGCTCGGCATAATGTCGCCACGCACAAACAGCCTCGAAGCGGACGAACAATAATAAACCACCGGGTCGATTCACAGGTAGGTGACCCTGGATGGTTGTAGTTGTACGAAAAAATACACTGAAAAGTGTAGTACTCTACATACGCTGAAAAGTGTAGTACACGTCTCACCACGAAAAATGGGGGACTGTCGCCATAATCAATAGGACGAAAACACACATCACACAACACACACCCTTCGAGGGCGGTAAGCAACAGAGGTGGTTGTGCCTCATGTCTTCAAAGGGCGAAGTATACATATGTGCTGCTGTCGCATTGCAACGCTGAATTGGAACGAACGTGGAACACACACAGACAGAGGAGCTCCCGTATCTGACCGCTGACATACGATGGTGCACACCGGTGTCATCTGCCGAGTCTCCATGTAGTGTTGGCGCGAACTAGACTACTCCAGAAACTGGTTCTGAACGGCGAAAATAAAGTCCTAGTGTCCTTTCCTGGTCGGAGGCGGGGAGGAGGAAAACACAAGCGACGCGGCGTGGACACACTTTCTGTCCCTCTTCTCGCCCTCCCCCGTTCCGCGATCGCCGAGCTCAGTGTCTCGGCACGCAGAAAACATGTGTTACGGTTCGAGACATTCATTGCTCCCTCGCAAGTACACCCCCACAGAGGTAGTTGGCCGCATTCGGCGGAGCCTCTGAAAGAGTTGTCTGGACTCGCCCTCCTCTGCCCACAACCAAGCTACCATCCTGAGCTTGCACTTAAAGATAAGACCATAACATCCACAAGGAGGCCTTTGCTCCGACACTAAACCGGCCACTAGAGCTGGTACGAGTATCTTCACTACTCATCACACTCGGTACAGTCGTTCGATTGCACAAAGAGAGGTCAGTGTGTGTGCATCGCTGCATGAGAGAATACCTCTCAAGAGCACAGTTGTTTAATTCCCTTTCTTGCGCCAGAAGCACAGTGCCATGAACGGGAGCTATACGTACTTACTGATTGCACACTTTAGATCTCTACCGTTATGTGCTAAAGACTCGTTACATGGTGTACAATCCGTGAGCACGCGCTCGCGCGCGTGTGAGTCCTGGTGTTACATGCTTGTATCCCTTTGCCGCTCTGCTGCTTCGCTGTGTTCCCTTACCAAATCACGGCCGCTGTGGCCATCCCTTGAATTTCCTGATGTCAAAATCCATTGCATTTCCCCTGGCCATGCTTCCCTGCGTGTGAGCACGCGCGCGATGTGTTTCTCGGCGTGTGATCAAGCACTCGCTTGTGAACGCTACTTTGTCCCGGTGTACGTTTAGGCCATGCCCGCGATTTTGGCGGGCTGGCATACAATGTGCGTTACCGTGCGGTTGCCTCCACATACGTTCATTTGCACGCATTGATTGCGCACCACCGGGGTGGTAGTTCCCGGGATGCCTGCTTGTGATTCTAATTCGGCCCCAGATGAACGCTTGCTCCGTGGGACGGCCATAGGTGGGAAGTACTCGAACACACACACTGCTCGCCTCACCCATCTTTACCGTTGCCGCCTACTCGAGAAAGCCAACGATTGATGAAAAGAGCCAACAGAGACTGAGCGTGATCGCATGGATGTTCGAATGTGTCCTTTTCTTGGAAGGAGAAGACGTTTTATCTCTTCTATTAGACACGTAAGGGGAGTAGGGTGAAGTGAAGCCCTCTTTGGAGTTCGAGGAGTCCCCGCACATGCAACCAAGTTTGTCTGTCCTGCGCAGGCGCTACATGGCACAGCCGCGCTGTTTGCTGTTTGCTCTTTGCTGGAGCTGCTCACTCCTCGACACTAATGTTCTTCGTGCCAACAATCCGGCCACCCTGACCATTCAACCACAATCCAACCACAGGCACATGATCTAAGACCATCAAACAGGATACAGCCTGGAGCCGACATGGAAAAGACGGATGGCATACTGACCGCATGAAAAAAAAATTCTTTCTCGTCTCCCATGTCCAAGAGGTGTCAGTTATAAAGACTCTTCTTGACGGGCTTTCTCGACCTTGAAGGGCGGCGACTGGAGTGATGTGAGCCGAAGCCGCACTTGTCCAGATCACCGTCGTAGTCCATGGCAATGCCTGATCGGCTACACAGACGAGAATAAGCCAAACGTCCAAAGTCGGAGGGGAGGAGGGGGCGGGGGTGTACTCATAGTCGTGCATGCCGTAGTCGTTAGACCATTGACCTCGCATCCCTACAAAGCCGGGACGGAG